GAGCCAAAAGTGAAGGTAAATCTTTGTTTTAATTTCGTTCTCATTTTAAATATAAAATTTAGTTGACTACCACTTAAACACCCATTTGTGTACTCATCTGTAATTATTACACCATTGTAATTTGAAATAGAATATTTTTTAAAGTTGAAGTTAATAATAACCTAAAAGGTTTAATAAATCTTTAAATGGCTCAATATTATGAACTTACGGAGTTTTATAAAAGGTGATTTAAGTGGTGCTTTGTAAAAGCCATTCATTTGATCAGAAAAACTCAGAAAGATCAGAAACCTTGAGAATAAAAAAGAATTTAAAATTCAAATGAACATAAAGATTAGAAACCTTGAGAATAAAAAAGAATTTTAAAAAATACACGATTAAGAATCTGTAAGAAACCAATAGAGCAAGAAATGGAAAAGTGCCAATTTCTAAAAAGAAAAATAATAAGTTATATTACTTTTCCCCTTCAAACCATACTTAATACATAGTTTTAGTATCTTAATATAAAAAATCCTAGAATTTAAGCTTTCATCCCTTTCTATCAAAAGACATCTCTATATTATTATTTTTTGTACAAACTGACAGAATGCATCTGTCTGTGGAGATAAAGATAAGACATACACACACATTGTTCAATTTATAGATGCACTAAATAGTAGCCAGGATATGAAATGCTTCAGCAGCCATTACAGTATACAAACATAAATATGCACATGTATTTACAATACAAATTAAGGCAAGATAAAAAAATGGGCAACTCTCACTTCCAAATATGTAGCTTTAATTACTCAACATGCAGGAGCATTCATAAATATGAATAACATGACAAGCAGAAGCATTAGAGTTGTACTAGAAAAGATAGTTAAGGTGTAAAAATATATTAACAAGGTATAGATCTCTGTTCTGTGATCATGTTGAATTTTTATCTGAATTTTCTTCTCAAAGAAGAAATGGATTTTTTTTTTTTTTTTTTAGGTTTTAACGTATATGTTAATAAAGGTCAAATTAGCCAGAGACAGGGCCATGCTAACAAAAATGCCCCACTCTTTATTCATGCCTCTGCCCATCTTTTGATATTGTTTAATTGACCTTTAGCATGCAGAAGAGTTAATGAGGTTCTACTCCTCCTACTCTACCTAAGTTTGCTCAGCTGATTCCTTGCCCTCGACAATGGCTGCAGTGCGATGAACTCGTCACTTAAAGCAACTGTGTTGGAGTACATCTATAAGTGGACAGAAAAGGGATGGACACACAACAAGTCAGTGAGCTGTATTCATCGCCTAAGAGACAGACACAGGACACGCTTTGTAAATACATCTGTTCCTACAGGAGGAATAAATATCATACGTGATACACATACATGACTAACATTTGTAGGGTTGTTGGCTGTGCCATCAAAAGAATTTATTATTCACTCTTAACACCACATTGTTATTCTGGAGAAAAACAAGGCTCAGAAAACATGCTGACAGCTCTTCCTTTGATACGATTTTTCTTGCTACTTTTGGTAAACAATGAAGTAGCTGACAGTTTTCTAGCCATTTCTCCATCATTTGAAATCAGGAATGATATAAAGCTAAAATAATGATTACTGACCATAACAAAGGAATAATGTTACATACAGGATTTCAATGACCATATACTGTTTCAGCCAAAAAAAAAAAAAAAAAAAAAAAGGAAAGGAAAAAATACACCAACCCCAGCAGGCTAGAAGATCCCTGAGTAGAAGCAGAGATTTCCTTCTTGGATTAGACCACCTAGAACATCCAGTTAAGTCATTTAGAAGTAAATTTAGTGAGCCAAGAAGGAAGACCATACTAGCTTTTATACATAGATAAAACGATTGATCCACTGTACATTCCATTTTTAATCAAATAGACTAAACCAATTTTAGCTTTATAGTGAAAGAACCAAAATATGTATAAGCACTTTTAACTTTCAACTTGTCTAACGGCCTACCTTAAGGTAGTCCAAATATTTCCTATGTATTACTTTAAAAAGAGGCTACTGGAAAGGTAACAAGAACTAATATTATCACCTTTTATATTATTAAGAAACCTCTATGAACATGTGTAAGTTTGCAAATGCTCTGCCTAAAGTAGAATTTCTAAGGATACATATAAATAAATCTGATGTATTTACAATACAAATTAAGGCAAGATAAAAAAATGGGCAACATCAAATTAAATCTGGTTGAGTATCTCCAATCTCAAAATCCAAAATCTGAAACTTTCTGAGTGTAGACATGATGCTCAAAGAAAATGCTAATTGAAGCATTTCAGATTTTGTATTAAGGATGCTGAATCAGTAAGTATAATGCAAGTACTCTTTAAACAATCTGAAATCTGAAACAAGCAGTTTGGATAAAGGATACTGAACCTATATTTACTCTTATAAAGAATTAAGTATATATTTTTTTGAGAGACGGAGTCTCACTTTGTTGTCTAAGGTGGAGAGCAGTGGCGCAATCTTGGCTCACTGCAACCTCTGCCTCCCAGATTCAAGAGATTCTTGTGCCTTAGCCTCCTGAGTAGCTGGGACTACAGGAGTGTGCTACCATGCCTGGCTAATTTATGTTTTTAAATTTTTATTTATTATTATTTTTTGAGACGGAGTCTCACTCTGTTGCCCAGGCTGGAGTGCAGTGGCGCCATCTCAGCTCACTGCAACCTCCACCTCCCAGGTTCAAACAATTCTCCTCCCAAGTAGCTGGGACTACAGGTGCCCGCCGCCACATCCGGCTAATTTTTATGTATTTTTAGTAGAGACTGTGTTTCACCATGTTGGCCAGGATGGTCTCCATCTCCTGACCTCGTGATCCACCTGCCTCAGCCTCCCAAAGTGCTGGGATTACAAGTGTGAGCCACCGTGCCCAGCCTATTTTTTTAATTTTCAGTAGAGACCTAGGCTTTCGCCATGTTGGCCAGGCTGGTCTCAAATTCCTGAGCTCAAGCCATCCACCTGCCTCGGCCTCCCAAAGTGCTGGAATTACAGGTGTGAGCCACTGCACCCAGCCTCAAGAATTAAGTCTTTAAAACAATGCCATCCATATATTTTGGTGAAATATAACTATATTTAGGTCAAAACAGGGAGACAAAGTCTTCTCCATAAAGATCTAGAGTAAGTATAATGAACAAAGCCTTAAAAATAGTACTCTTTTATTGTACATTTTTTTTCCAGAAGATTAGGAATAGTAAGCTAGGCAAACTTTCTGATATATGTTTAAGTAATATGCTGCAGAGTGGAAAAGTCTGTCCACACTGATATAAATATATATGCATGGACAGATAGAGGAATCAGATTATGCAAATTTTTTTAGCCCCAGTTGAAGATCAGTATAACAGGGTAACATTCTCATCCTCATTTTACTTACAATGATAACTGTTTTACTGAGGATCAACTATATACAGGCTCAGTGTGAGGCACTTCATACTCATTATCTCTAACAACCATGTAAAGTAGTAATTATTTATCTGATTTTATAGAGGAGGAAACTGAGGCTTATGAAGTGCTTGATCAAGGACATACATATGAACTGTTGAAACAATATCTGAATTCAAGTTTGTCAGGCTTCACAAGCCTATGCTGTCTCAATGGTGTGAATGTGTATACTGGCTAGGATTTGGTTATTGAAGCAAACAAATGCTAAAGAAATGTTGTGGACATGACCAACTGAAATTAAAACTAATGCACTGGTCAGGAAGCCTAACTTACATCACTAAATGTTTAGGAAGTAGTTTTTCTATTTGTAGGATGAATATACAACTAAATTTCCAAAATTCATCTGGCATGTTACAAGCGTGTTTAAAAAATCTCAACCTGGGAAGAACTAAATGATTAATAAACTCAGGGCATAAGAGTTGGCTAGAATATATTTTGAGAGTATTTATCTAATACTACAATATAGTTAAAAGGACAAATTGAGAGATTTCTAGCTCAGGTACTAGTTAAATATATAAAAGAGGCACATTCAACTACATAGCTACAATTTTTGAGCATCTACTATGTATTTGGAAATTTTTTCATTTAATCTTCACTAGAAAGGTAATACAAAAGATATTTCTATCATAATTTTACCAATGAGGAAACTGAGATTTAAAGTCACAGAGATACCAAATGGAAGACCTGGGATTTGAACTGAGATGTATCAGGCCCCCAAGATTCTTAAGCACTATGTAACATACTGCTAATATTTGCTGTAGTTTAATATTTATTAATAAATGTTTAGTGAGATAATATGTTTTTAAAAATTCTATTCTGTACAAATTATTGAGGTTAAAGACCCCATTTCATACTTTTTTGGTGAAAATAATATGATCAGAAAAAATATTACTCAGCCAGGTGCAGTAGCTCACACCTGTAATCCCAGTTCTTTGGGAGGCCGAGGCAGGAGGATCACGAGGTCAGGAGATCAAGACCAGTCTAGCCAAAATGGTGAAACCCCGTCTCTACTAAAAATACAAAAAATAGCCAGGTGTGGAGGCAAGTGCCTGTAATCCCAGCTACTCGTGAGGCTGAGGCAGGAGAACTGCTTGAACCCAGGAGGCAGAGGTTGCAGTGATCCAAGATCGTGCCACTACACTCCAGGCTGGGTGAGGGCAAGACTCCATCTCGGGAAAAAAAAAAAGAAAAATTCCTCAAATTATTATGTTTCTAAAGACATGGCTATAGATCTTCATTATATATATATATGATAGAATGCTGTGATATTACTTTAAAAATATTTACTATTATCTGGATATAACTTGATAGTTTCATATCTAAAAACATCAAGTTTTATTAACACAATGTAATTAAAAAATAATTTATCAGTAGTCATAAAATTAATAGAAATAGTAAGAAATAACTTTAAAAATATCACACTGAACAATGTTTATGTTACAAAATACTTGAAACAGGAATGGCTAATTTCCTATTTTCTGACATAAGCAAATTATGACAGCTATTCATCATTAAAGATCCCTAACTAAAAAGATAATGAATTTATTACAAAAAGTGGTTACCTGCGCCTTTTCAGTACTTGTAGGGTAGAGGTGTCGGTCAAATACCTTCTTTATGATATCAAGAAATAGACATGTAACAACCATGAGGATTATGGCAAACCAAGCAGAACCACTTGATAGGAGCTGAATAAACACAAAGTACATATTCTGGGAGCCCAAAAATGGCCTGCAAAGAAAGACAATGTGCTTAATAAAAGTGGAAACTGAAAGACTTAAATCAGGACATTATATAAAGACACTACAGTTGAACGTAACAAGTACTCCAAGAAAATGTTCAAAACTGAAATCGGTATAACTTAATTAACTGAACAACTAACAAAACAAGATGAGCTTTAATTGTTAAAAATAAAACAACTATAGTTTTTGTTAGGAAAATGGCAAGTAGTTGACCAGATAACCCTATCTTAGCGGTAGCGTATCAGAAGAATAATGTACTAATACAGACTTAAGGGACCAAGCAAAGCAAGAAAAACGGTGTAACAAAATATCTGAGAAGACTGATTATCCAAATCTTAGAATGAAAGCTTTATTCAGAAGCTCTTCTTCAAAAACATATTTTAAAATTAATGTACTCACAAATACTAGTTTTACATAGTAGTAGGTGTTATAAAGATACTCTTTTTGGGTTTTTGTATATACTACCTCAAAAGAATATGGTGAAATATAGAAACATTCATAATATCCTTTTATGATCCTAACTAGAAGCTAATGTTTAGCTAATCCAAATTTTTTTGGCCTACCTACCTTCAGAAGTTTTTTTGCCTGATAGATGAATCAAAGACATAGCAGGCAAATGTAATATAAATTCTCCAAAAGAGAGCCTTCAGTTATCCATCACTTACCAAAGAATCTTAGGAGAAACATTAATTTTTAATCTCTCAGAGTAGCCAGTTGAGTATCTGATTCTATCAATGAAGATGATGCATACTACTTACTTTTGTGAGAAAAGTGAATGATTAACATTTAATTGTTCTGTGTGACTTACTTTATTGTATATATTAATACATAATACATTAATACATAATATAACTAGTGTAAAGAAAATTAATTGTGAAATAAGACAACTGGGGTTTAAATCGTGGCTTTGCTACTTTTTTGTCTTTGTGACCCTGAGGCTAGTTTCTACACAGAAAAAAACAGGGATAATGATTGTGATGAATCAGTATAATATCTTACACAGAAAATCTAGAAAAATTGTAGATATTCAATAAATGTTAGTTTTTTCCTCTCCATATCAGTAAGATCAAGTGAAAGAAGTAAACTTACCAGGAGTCTCAAATCTGTTATAAGCAGAATATGTTCATAATGTAACCTATCACAATAAAGGTTTATTATGTCAAAGCAATCCATTTAAAATACAACATATTCACTCACCAGAGAATCCCTCCATAAAACAAGGAAAACACAAAATAAAATATAATAGATCCCCAGGTAACGAGATGGTTGATCCAAGTCCAAAAATGGGTTTCCAGAGCCATCTAAAAAAAAGTTTTTATATCCTTAGAAATATAAACAAATAAAGCTTTACCTTTTCAGATAAAATTCAAGAATAAACATAAATATCTAAAAGTCCCTCAGAAGACAGATATAATCCCTCAAAATCCCTCAGAGATAAATATGAATGAAAAGGTCCTAGTATAAAATGAAATAATTTCAAGTTTATAATATTTTTCTTCTTTGAGGAAGCAGCATTCAAATTTCACGTGATTACTCTATTTTCAACTCCATGGCCTAAAACAAATTACGCTGTCTGGCACTATACACAGAGAAGCAAAATTTTAGAGATTTTTAAAAATGTGATCATAAAAATCAGTTGAGGCTTCCTAAGATAAACTTTAAAAATAACTTTTGACAAAAATTTAAGTGAATTATTAAAATAGTAATCAGTGAAATTAATCGTTTTTGAAAATGGAAAAAGGAAAAGTATCTATGGCTAAAGAAATGAAGAAAATTAAGTAATTATGTAAACAGTTGCAAAATGTGTCCACATTTCTAATTTCAGTACCATACCTTTACTGTGACTGTAATAACCATGACTGTGAAGACCAAAGTGCCAAATGTCCAGTTTCCAAACATCTAAACAGAAAGAATACACTATTACATTATGTGTTAACATAATGTTAAATAAAATGTCAGGTAAAAAGTCGTCTAATTCTCTACTAAAAATCCCTTGAATTTTTTAAGTCACGTACATTTGAAACTGGTGACTATACTCATAAAGTTAAGAGTATGAGAAGAAACAGCATAAAGTATTATTTACATGTGTTATTATTACACACAATGATCTTTTAGATATCATTATCAGACTGGAAACCCAAAGACGGGTTTAGAATGGTGTGGCCCAGACTATTTTTAGTTAGAATAATATAGTCATTAGGGTCTGCTTTATTGCTGTCGCACACTAAAAATGGTAACAAAATCCTTTTCAATCACAAGTATTTTCAGAAACCTTTCCAACCAGATGTCACAGCAGAGCACCTGCCACAGTATTTTTGGATACAGTACAGTACAGCAGGAGGAAAGAAATTTACACTTAAAACCTGTATCTGAAAGGAAGGATAATGGATCATGGAATTATTCCTCAAAGGATTCCATGTAAAAATTCTGTTATTGCCAGTCAGAAAGTATTCCCCCAGGCTTTAAGCCAAAACTTATTAAGGTATTAAACATGCAGAACCCAAAAACAGCTTCAGGATTTTATCTCTACAAATAAGAATACAACCAGAAGTTTAATAATCTAGTTTACAAAGTAATCGTTGTTAGTCCAAACTGCACCGTTTTGTAAGCTCCCTGCTATTTTGCAGACTGTGGTCAAAGTCAACATTTCACAGGGGTTCGGGACCTGGGAAACATCCTGCCTACCACCACCTGACCACTATAGAAAGATCGTTATCACGCCAGGTGCAGTGGCTCACGTCTGTAATCCCAGCACTTTGGGAGGCTGAGGCGGGTGGATCGCCTGAGGTCAAGAGTTTGAGACCAGCCTGGCCAACACTGTGAAACCCCATCTCTACTAAAAATACAAAAAATTAGCTGGGCACAGTGGCGGGCACCTGTAATCCCAGCTACTCTGGAGGATGAGGCAAGAGAATTGCTTGAACCCAGGAGGTGGAGGTTGCAGTGAGCTTTTACCGTTGCACTCCAGCCTGGGCAATGAGAGCGACTCCAACTTTAAAAAAAAAAAAAAAAAGAAAGATCCTTATCATATCTTGCTGGATAAAGGTCCAAGGAACACCACGAAGACACCCCACCAGAACAAGGGCCAGAACCACCTCATCATGGGAACATCTTATCAATATCCTGCCAGACAGTGGGCCATACTGCCCAGACCCCTCCCGCCCATACCTGTAAGTACCCACAGCCTGTAAGCAGCTGATGGGCTCTGGCATTAGGCTGGTCCCCCACTTCTGTAGGTTTTATGCTGGACAAAAAGCTTGCATTTGCTCTTGAGCTGCCCTCTTTCTGTGTCTTTCTTTAACTCTCACCTTCCCTTCAAAACCTAACAATCATTATCTTAACACTGGTTCAAAAAAATTATTAAAAAGGCTTTTTATTGTAGATTTCTAACAATTATCATTTACTTAACAAATTACTTAACCTCTCTATATCTCACTTTCTTCATTTGTAAAGTAAGGATAAATCTCAGTTTTCTGTAAGTTTTCAATCGGGGTATACAAAAAGAATGGAGTACCTGGTATACAAAAGGCAGTTGGTAAATAACAGTTATGATTATCAACAATGAAACATCAATTAATATTCCTTTGAGAGCTTTTGAGGAATGTATTTGCCAAGAGGAGAATCAAAAGTCATATTGAACCTGTGGTCATCTGTCTGCTTTTATCATCTCTAGAAATGACCCAGAAATACTGATCAGTGGGTCTCAACTTAGCTCTCTGAGGAGGACTGTTATTCTCCTCTTTCACAGGTATGGACACAGATACTTTTTTTTTTTGAGTCAGAGTCTTGATCTGTCACTCAGGCTAGAGTGCAGTGACATGATCTTGGCTCATTGCAACCTCCACCTCCTGGACTCAAGCAATCCTCCCACCTCAGCCTCCCAAGTGGCTGGGACTAGAGGTGCACACCATCACACTTAGCTAATTTTTTTTTGTATTTTTTATAGAGACAGGCTTTCACCATGTTGCCCAGGCTGATCTCGGACTCCTGGGCTCAAGAGATCCACCTGCTTTGGCCTCCCAACATGCTAGGACTATAGGTATCAGCCACTGTGCCCAGCTGGGAGAGATACTTTGATGCAACCAGGGAACCTGGGCCTGGAAGTGGTAAGGAATGTCTATCCTTCAGTATCTGGTTTTACTGGTCCTAGACTGGGGCATGTTACATGGTATTTTCCTTAGAGGAGAATTTAGGGCTTCCTCTTGCATAGGCCCCATTCAAGGCCCTAGAAGAAGCTATACGAAAGCATTCCCATAGTTTTTTGTGGGTAAAATTATACAAAGTAATATATTTCAATTGTAATCAACTGGTTACGACTGCTGTCTCTTTCCATTCTGATTTGCCCTTGAGCTGGTAGGTGATAATGTGAGTGGCAAAGGGCATTTTGGAGATTTGGCTAAAGATGAGCTTATAGGCCGGACGCAGTGGCTCACACCTAGAATCCCAGCACTTGGAGGCCGAGGAGGGCGGATCACCTGAGGTTACGAGTTTGTGACCAGCCTTACCAACATGGAGAAACCCTGTCTCTACTAAAAACACAAAATTAGCAAGGCATGGTGGCCCATGCCTGCAATCCCAGCTACTGGGGAGGCTGAGGCAGGAGAATCACTTGAACCTGGGAGGCACAAGTTGCGGTGAGCTGAGATAGCGCCATTGCACTCCAGCCTGGGCAACAGAGCAAAACTCTGTCTCAAAAAAAAAAAAAAAAAAAAAAAAAAGATGAGCTTACATTTGGTTTGGGATAAATGAGACATATTTGTCACTCATAGTCATCTGCATATATACTTAAGTTCATAGTTGTATGTTTTTTTAAATTTTTTTCTTAAAGAGGGCCTGTGAAAATGTTTAGATTCTACTAAACCTGGATCTGTCCCTGCTCAGAAGAGACAGATGTTCAAAATACTTTCTTTCCCACTCTGCTTGGTTTCTAGATCACTTCTTAGATGAGAAGAATGAGTGGACCCAGTGCACTGATGAAGATCTGATGGCCTAGAACTATGTCCTAGGCCACTGCTCCATTTAGAGCGGTGGGTCTCAAGTGTGGGTGATTTTGCCTCTGTAGGGACATTTGGATGACACCGTAAGAAGCAAGATAACGTTTTCTGTTCTCTTCTAAGGTATAGCTATATCTAATACTTAATAAAGTGCCTGGAATACTGTTGGTGCTTAAATTTTTGTCTCATGAATAGATGAACATATAGGGGAATTCTATAAAGAACCAGACAAAGATCTTTTTTACAATATAACCTTTTATTAAAAAATCTGTATCTACCTCTAGGAATTAAGTTATATGCATTCTTGAGTGACCTGACTGGTAATCACAGTAAATCATTTGAATTGAAATAAAGGATATAGCATTCTCTGTGGAATACAGATACAAGATAGTATGTATTTCTTGTCTTAACAGAGCTCTTACCATTTGATCAGGTTTCAACAGTTGATGATAATGTACAGTATGAAAAAAAATTAATTAAAGATAGGAAATAAGGAGAGAAATCATTAAAAATTCAAGAGAAAATAGTAGTAAATACTAAACAAAGGTTTATTTTTCTTTCAAAATTACAACCTGAAATTTCATGTCCTCAGTCTACTTTGTATTGCTAATTATTTACCCCCAGCTAATCTGGTTTAAATGCTTAATGGTCTAGAAGGTAATGAAGGGGTGAAGAATTACATTCTCTTCCTAAATCATTGTTTTCCATTTAATTTTTAATGTGATATAGTATATGATTTTTTTTTTGGAATTGTGCTGACGGTCTGACAATCAAAATCTCTACTGGAGAAGTCAAATTGGATTTTTTTTTTAAATCAGAGATGGGATCTTGCTATGTTGCCCAGGCTGGGATCAAGTGATCGTTTTACCTCAGCTTCCCAAAGTGCTGGGATTACAGGCATGAGCTACCATGCCCAGCCCAAAGTGGAATTTACATACTTTGATAGTTTTCTACTTTTTCTTCCAATCCTATATTTTTTGAATTTTAATTCTTTTAATTTCTCAAACTGGGTACACTTCCATAAAGAGAAGAAAAATCACTAATAATAGATGCTTTCCTTTGAATTCCTGTACACTTTAGTAAAACAGACAAAACAAAAGAAACCTCTTATTTGGGCAGGATTTCATTTTAAAGAGCAGTTCGTAGTTGAGAAGAAATGGAATAGATTTAGTGTTTGGGTCCCTAAGTTAAAAAAGAATTCTTTTTGTCTTTACTGTCTTTTTCTCCTAAAGCCAGGGAAACAATGACATGAAATACTACGATGGGAACTCAGCTACCTCTGAACTATTCTGGTATTTTCTTTCCTATATCAACCTAGTTTTCCGCTCTCACCATATGACAATTCCCTCCTTCTTGTTTCTTAATTGTAATATTCTTACTCATTTAATATACTCTTAAGGCAGCCATGAGGCTTTTTCCATTGCATTCTGTAGAAGTCTCTTCTAACTGGTGGTGAACTCTCTTAATCTGAATTGTTTTTCTCACCTTTCCCCATCACTTTCTTATCTATAATATCTTAACTAGTATCTTTTTTATAATTCTAAATAGCTTCTTTCCTGAGGAAGTTTCCTTGCTAAGATCACAGAAAGACAACTTAAGCTACTTCCAAAAATATTTTGTACAACAGCAACATTGTTAGAGTAAGTAAGTTACATACTAAGATGACTTATTCTGTAGGGGTCAACAAAATAAAAGATAAATTCTTCAAAAAAAAAAAAAAAAAAA